CTAGGCGCTGAACATGCCTAGAGCGTGAACCGTTAAAACGAAACCATTGTGCTACTGCGAAATCCGTCGTTTTAGGTCCTGATACGCGGGGGACCACAATCAAGGTATAGATGTAGGTGACACGGTGTTGTATCATACGCAAGTAATGCTTAAAGCATTACTTTACCCAAATGGCCGTTAACTTGGGCTCAAACAAACTTTGTGGATCTATCAGGACTACGATAGGTAAGCCACAGTAACCAACTCCCCATTACGTGAATCACGAGAGGACGATGATTTGGACGCTAAGGAATATTAGATGAGAAGTTTTCAGAAGGACTTCAGCACCTTCGTGCGATTCTTATACGATCAGGAAAAAGAGGAACACGAAAGAGAACGAAGAGAACGGAGACTCGAAAGGAATCAGAGGAGCTCCTGAGATCTCCGTTCTTCAAAATTTCAATGTGCGCTCAGCTTTCTCGACGTTGATGGGAGGTATTCCGGCAGGTAGAGGTTTAGTGTTTGTCCTTTCACGCAGAGAGAGGGAGCCCCTCGCTTAAGTTCCATGCATCAACAGTTAAAAGAAATGCTCCGGCTGTTCCTTGTGGGTGCACGCATGCATGTGTCCACACGTTCTTTAGAAAAGATTCGGGCTACACATTATTCATGCTTCAACGGTGAAGTGGGTAAGCACATGGGATCACCATACCGGAGGTATTTACGCTGGGTCTCTTTCGTAGACATATTTGAGACTAAGTCAGAGACGTAAAACGATTTGCATTACCAAACAACTTAATAAGAAGGAGCTCATCTGTTTAATAGTTTCTTTTTTGGCATGATGAACGAGCAAAGTATGATCTGACGCCATTTGACGAGTTCGTTTTCAGGTGTATAAGAAACATCTTCCAAGAATTTTGGTATTTTGTAACATAGGGTTGAATCTCTGAAACGAGATTCTGAGCTCCTCTGTGATGCCTAGATCAATCGAACACTACTACGGGGCCAATCACAAAAAAAGCGTGTCTACTTCGTTGTCATCCTCTGCGATGTAGCGTGAAAAAAGTTTGCGTACTTCACACAGACATTATAAACGCGGTTGACACGTTCGTTGATGGCTTGAAGTAATTAAGCCGCTTTAAAAGAGCGTATGTAGGACATGGATGTTCGCTACGTATGACTTGATTAAACCAGACATGCATCAACCATAATATTGACTTCTGCATCAACCCCAGAAAACGAAACGTTATCGGTGCCATCAAAGACTTTTCTGCTTTATTAAACAGAATCTAAATATAAAAAACGATGAGTCTATTGAGTTCCAGCAATGTTTATTTACTGGCCCATCAAGAGAATCTCAAACGAATGAGCCCTAAAACAAGCCGACAATCTGATTATCAAAATGTATTCAGTGTTGAAAACTGCACAAGTTCTAAAATAACAATTCTCCTCAAAACTCGAAAAACTTCTCGGATGTTTTAGCCGTCAAATAAGTTTTGTTGCTAGATCTTAAATAGTTCTACTTCGTGAAAATTCGGATCCTGCCCAGTAGCCATTCGAGTCTAGTTTATATACCTAATCAATTCAAGTTTAATGAGGACAGATCAGATGTGTTACGCCCTCAGTCTATATGGCCTTGTCGAACGAAATAATTCCCTTCTTTCGTGTAGGCACTCATATTTTAAATAAAAAACCCATAAAATGTTTCTAAAAACAATACTTAAGGCCGGCTCATTTTGAACATAACATTCTGACCTAGGCACGTAAATACAAATAGCGTCCCAATCAGCCCGAACCCCTTAATAGTAAATTATTTCATTTGTTTATATACGAAATATAGTCGCCCGGGCAGTCTTAGGGTGAAGATATAATAACCCAATGACACATAATAGATTCTGAAGTTTGAAAATTTCAAAATTTCGAATGAACATCTCCTTATAAGAAAAAACCGAATGAACCTTATAGTCTCGACTCCACATAACCTAATTTTCCACTAAAAATAGAGCCTACTATTTCACTCGAATATTAACAGCAAGTGAATGTTTTAGCCATTACCCTATACGATATTCCCTTCCTATTAATCACGTCATATACTTCGTCTCATCATAGTTTTTTTGTTTGGTGTTAAAGACCCCAAAATCTGTTCCTTCTTAATTGACAAATATACCATTACAAAATGTATTTGCCAGTAAGCGGAACAGCTCGCAGGCCATCAGTGGGGGTACGGAAAGTATGGTAGATGTGAAAGATCTCTTACCAAGCTTCCTGCAAAAAAGCTTCAACAATTTGTCTCATCACCGTCATGCAGAAAGATGACTTCGCCTTGTCTATCGGTTTTGGTCTGTTGGATAGCCTTGTAGCTATAACAGATCCTTGTTTGGCCCTCTTGTTTTTGTCAAGTATTTCCAGTTTTACGAAATCTTATCAGCCAATTCACGAGCATCTTGCTTTGTCCTACTTCAAAAGCGTTCTTAAGCTATCCTTATCGATCTCGGATGACCAGCCGGGCCGAGATTCATCCTCCAGCTGTAAGACGAGATTGTTGAATTTCGCAAGCCATTTTCCAATTGTCCTCTAGAGCGTCGAGTCCAAAGTTTGCAGACCAAATCTGCTAGAACAGCCATTTCAGCAGACCTGGACAAAAAAAATTAGACATTGGACGCATAATCTCATGGTGTATCGAAGCAAGTAAACAAACGAAGGAGAACTAAAGAAAAATATAAACATTTGAAAAGTACTATTATTTGTGGACTAACTTGGGATTTGTGGCCATTCAGTGAACATTTGAGACTTATCAAGTTCGATTATCGGATTATAATACATAGGACAGTTGACGGGAAAAGAACTAATGATAGACTTTGTGATCATGTGTAAATGCTTTCATATTTATACCAACCCTGACCTGTTCAGCAGGGCAGTCCAATGTCTGTGCGGCCTGACAATAGATGCCGTTTTCCTGTCAAAAGCTTCCCGTAAGAGCTAACAACTGATTTATCCCTGACTCGACTTTTGACGTGAAGTCTTCTCTTATGAGTTTCAAGCAACACATACACAACGGTGATTGCTGCATAAATATAAGATTCGTTATTAGCTAAACGCTTTTCCGTATATTTACAAAGTTCACTTATATAACATCACCGAAATCATAATTATATAGCGCAGTGTACATGTACGTTCTTTCGGAGAATTGTGTCGAACATGCAGCGTCTGTGAACGATGTGAAATAACTCGCGCCCCGCCTTTTTTTTTTTTTGTTCAATATTTGTTCCCATATTTTGATAAAATGGGGCGTGCATGACGGACAGAGCCTAAGCGAATACACAAAACTGTATAAACACTCTAAGCAAACTAGGCCAAATAGCAAATAGTCAATAACAGCGGACTATTTGCTGTTTGGCCTACCAGCCGCACTTATATATATATTTTTAACAATAACTGCTTTATTTTACAATAGAATGTGCGATTACTAATCAGTTTATAATCGAATCTATCCCAACAAGCGGAGATAGTAGAGGTTAAGTTAAAGTGATCATTTGATGCGTTTCCTTTCTATACAATTTACGCATCTGAATAATAATCTATATTTAATTATCGAAAGTTCTTTTCATGACACAGGTTATAGCTTAGATGTCGTAAGCGGCCAGAAAAAAATAAAATCTGTAGCTAAATTTGTGTGTTAAAGTCATTTAAATTCGAAGCTTATCAGCCGTGCAGTTGTTCAAACCTGTTAGAGGAGGGGTCTTAAGATTATGTTGGCGAGAAGCCTCGTCATTCAGTTATTTTTCAGACTAACCCTTACAAAAATTCTTTTAACTTTTAAACTTAAATAGGACATATTCATAAGTGGGAACAAAGAGGACAGAACTTGCAGCCCTGGTTTAAGCTGGATTTAATATAAGGTACTGATCTGTTTTACTTTTAGATCACTTCCACGAACTCCTTTTCGTAAATATCTAGGCTGCTTTAAATAGTGGAATCACCTAACTGAATAAATCAATCAAGTACATCGCTTTTTAGTTGTTGAAAGCTTCTACGCGGCTGAAACACGGCGTTATTGATGTGCTATACTTTATATTGATGTACCTGCAGATCTGACACAATCTAGGTTAGAGCATTGGTTAGTCTCGTATAGTAAACTATATTCTAAAACAGTGGAGCTTTAAGGGTGTTTACTAAGCTCGATTTCTAATTTGTCCACTTTGTCCTGGGGTGGTAGGGTCAGAAAGGACCTTTTAAGGCTTTTGCAAATTCGTATTGTGGTAAAATATCCGTAGCCAGTCCGTGGATAGCTCAGAGCCCCAGCTACAACGTAAGCGTAATACCTTCAGACTGTCTCCAGCCGCTTCTGAGTGATTAAAAAAAAATTAAAAGAAGGTTTATTTTGACTCGCGCTTCGATACTTTCTATTTTGAAGCTCTTGAAGAAAACTAAAAGAAGAATGAGAAAATATGACAAAATAAGGTTTAGGTTATTATTATCTTAAAGGAGAGCAAATAACAACGCTAATCCTTAGGTAGTATTCGCTTCGAGGCTTGACAAAGTACACAGATACATTAACTCTGTACGGGGGCAAAGGCGAGCAAAATTCCTAAGACTTACTTGAAAAACCTTGAGTAGGAAGCACTGGAAATTTAAACGCTCTATTTTAAAGCATTTAATTTGTTATAAAGTGAATGCTTGCCGCTTATTTGATGACGTTTCGTTAATATTTGTAGGCCAATACGTCATCGTTGCATCATCGTAACAGGTTCTTTATTAGCGTTTACCTTTGTGGGTAAACGGTGCTCGAAGCGGTCATATGGACACCATTCAGATGTAGCATCTTATTACCTCAAGTAATTTACGAAATTAGAAAGTTGTGCCACTTACTCATTAACTTAATGAAAGTGAAAGCAACGCATAACTTTTTCTAGACTGGACCGATCCAAAACTTCGCTTTAATCTATTTTTTACCTTATGAGTGACCGACCGACCTTATGAGTGACCGACTTTACCAGTTGGGTCGCCATTTGAACGTAATTTTCTTTTTGAATCGAGACGATGTTCAAAATGGTGATGACAATAGCAGCTTGTTGTCAAAAACTGGTCACAGTAAAATTTCAGAAAGCTCCTTGATAATAGAATGTATTAATGTATCCAAAGCAGGCTACATTGTAATGGTTGCACATTCCCTAAGGAGCCATACAAAGTACCGCTTCTGATCGGAAATTGGGCCTGGTAAACAGGAGAACGATCACTAGTAGAAAAACAAACTTTACTCTCGGTCGATTCTAGCCATTCCTTATGTTCCGAATAGACGCGATTAATTTGTCCTAGTTGTAGCGGATTTAAGCAAGAGTCTTGTTTATTGCAAATGTTATTAGTACTTGAAGAAACATATCGTTTCGTTTTGTTCTTACCAGAGTGTGGATGGTCTTTTCTACATTAGGTAAATTCGCTGCGACGAATCAAAATTGTTACTTTGGTTCTGTCCACCATTATACCATATAGTGAGTATACAGAATCTTCGTGAACGGAAGTAATTTCGTGTGGCCTGCACTAGCTTCGTATGTTTTCGATGCGCACCTATGTAGAAGCGACTTGTCGTCAGTGTATATTATTAATGATTTGAGCCTTAGAATGTAGGCAAACCTGGCTATGTAAAGCCTATTTTTCCTCAGTGGGAAACATTTCCTCACTCCAGCTTACCATTGTGCCTAACATAGTTGCCACATCACGCAAAAAGTTCTTCAATACAAAGCGTGTTACCTCTGACACATGTGTTACGGCAATAGTGTTGAAGTGCCAATCCACAACTAATTTCTACGGTAATTTTTTCCGCGACGATTTAATTCGACCGCTATGATGATGATGATGAAAAACTACCTTTCATAGCTAATTATGACATGAGTTAAATACAACACTAAAGCCAATCAGATATACACGGATGCCTAAGGTACTATATCAAAGCCTAGACAATGTTGTGATTAGCAAAGGATAGCTATGTATGTAGAATTTGTCGTTTACAATCGTTGCTGACCATACGAAACGATAAAAACCAATAGCTTCCGTAACCGGTGCTATTGTGGTAAGTTTTTTTTTTTTTTCTCATACTAATGCTGTTACTGGGCCAATACTGATGGGCATATTTACTTATCTCAACCCGATAGTAACTTTAGTACATGTCCTTGCTTAAACAGCAGAGAGAGCAAAAAGTTATCTGGTAATTGTCACAAAAGTCACCTTTGTACATGCTGTCGATATAACTCCTCATGTAGTCTTCATTCTGCGTGTGTGAAGATGAAGCGAAGGATGTCTTGTTCGCGAAAAGAATCTGGACGATTTAAACGTAAGTAATCATCTTTTCGACAGTCAATTACCGTAATCATTTTTGCGCATCATATACGCCAATTGAATAGTATTCCATAAATCTCCGTAACGTTACTGAATGTCTTCGGGATCATTTATTTCTCTGCTCTTCGTCTCCGATCTCTTGCCATCTCATGCTTGTTATATCCTATTGTATTGATCATTAATCTTTTTTGCTTCATGTTAGCTATTACCATATCTCAATGAATGTCTGAATGTGGCCTATAGTAGTACGTCGGGATCACATTGATCTTCTTTACAAGCTTAACTTTAGGATACCGTTTACAGTTATGCGGTAAAGCCGTACATGAATAAACGTGTTGTCCTATAGAACGCATAATAACATGTAGCTTATCAAAATTTTTACAATCATAAAACCTAATCCTGCGAAATACACTATCTGAAGTTTCGCTCGTATACACTTCGAGACCCACGGGGGAAGATTTTACTGCCATCTCTCGTGAAAACTAACTCGAATGAATTACGAAATCGTGTAATGCGTCAGTTATTTAAAACAAAAAAAGAGAAGTGATCGTGCATAGCTTAACCCACCGCTCTGATGCGGCGTCCGTTGATTTTTACTAGATCTGTCACATTTGGATGAGGCAATCATTAAATGGTTACTCCGATCATTGTTTACCTACTGAACTGCCAAAACAACGACATACCCATATTTTGCCATGCATCTTCCATATCACTAATCACTAAAATACGCTCCTGTTAACACCTGTTACCTGTTAGTAATGTAATCAGATATGATCTGACTCTCAGGCCATGGATAGACAGCATTCTCATAGAGCTAACTTGGTTTAATGTTTTCTCCTGTGTAACATTCGTATCTGTGATCAGTGTACTTATATTTTCGAGGTCCTAAGTAGCTCTATTTGCACTTGCCGTCGTTTGCACGTAGCCGTAAAAAGTTCGTACGCTGTTTGTGGTAAAAATCGTTTGTTAGCTAAAATAGGAACATACCTTTGTATGTTTTTGAGTGGTTTTCTATTAGATGCCTGAGGAAAGCTTGTCACGTATTAACATGCAATAGGGCACGCCATGAGACATGTGGCATTTACTAACTTTGATTTTGTTTTTGCGATACTTTACAATATAGATATTTACATTCATTGTTAATTAAACATGAAGGACAAATGTGAGGCTTATTCCCATATTATAAGGAGAGATCAGTGACTTCCCACCAATCTGTTGATCTGATTGGCGACTACTACTAGTATTATTATCAATGATTAAGTAGTTTCCAGTTCGAAGCTAGACCTTGCGATTCCCTCCATTGCGAAAGACGATTGTCGAACCAAATCTGAAGTAGAAAAATACAGAAACAATCTTTCAATACGTAAATTCCGTCTGAATCCCACTTCATTGACAGGCGTTACTACAGCCGGCAGACTAAGCCATCAGCGTCCATGTTGCCATTATCGCTTAGCGTTTTTCGACACTGACCAAATACGGTGCAGGAGTGATATGGACACAGTTAGATCGTACAGTGAATCTTTTTTTAAAAAACGATACGGATACGTTTCTTTAATTTATACAATCCACGTCGTAAAATTTCGAAAAACAAAAAATCAAAATGCTCAAAAATATCACCAATAAATTTCTATTAAATGGTTGTTTTTCCTTTTTTTTTTTTTGCGAAATTGGTCATTGAAGCCTAACTTACAAACTATAACTAGCATACAATTATTCGTACGGTGATTATTCCTCATGCTGATTCTATGTTTCCGTACTTGGTACAGTTTCAGACAAAACATATGCTTATTTCACTAACTATCTTTGACTCCGTAGAGCACTTCCGAGTTACTGCAGCTATACGTTATAAGCAAAGGTAAATTTCGCTCTGTCTACGTGTCATTCAGAGAGGAAACCTATGATTTCTGCAATTATCTTTCACAAGTCGTAGCATAGATCATGCGACCAAGACCGTTACCTACGGGCTATAGCGAAGCATTTAGCTGCTCTGCAATGGGCGGAACTACTTCGGATCTTTCCCGTCATCTGAAGGTGAAGACGTTAAGAGCATTTATTTTTTTGATATGCCTTCTTCGCTGAGTGACGATATAGACACGATTCTGTGCATGACGTGCAGCTAAACAGAACTTTGAAAAGTCCTAAACCGTCTTGACATGGCTGCAATCTAAAATCCAATGTTCGTCTATAGTTTTGATAGAAATTTCGGACTAAGACCTATTCAAGGGTATCACCTGTGAAGGCCTTACAAAATAACTCTAAAATGGCAACGATTAGGACAGGCGGAGCAATAAGTGCTACAAGTTAAGTTGTTACAATATTGCCAGTAGCATTGAACCACACGCGTAATGATCGTCGACCGCTTTTATCATCAATTTGATCGCTTGAAACGACCTGATCGCTGAATATGTTTACGTTAGAAACTGCATCTGGACAGCTAAAGGGCTTAATAAATTTTAACAATTTGAATTAATAGAATTACGATGTCATTGATGTCCATATAGCTACGCCGACTGATAAGTATTTTTGCGACAGATATCGCTATAGCGGCGTCGGATTCGTGTTATCGATACTACAGAGAGTTGTGATGTAAATGAAGAGCGGTATCGTATTAATCAGGTTCTCTTCTAGCACGAAACAGTTTTGATAAACATAGTAAGACGCGGCACAGGGCACTATATCAGAGATCAGACGAAAACAAAATGAACTCGACAAGCACCTGGTGATCCTATTAAAAGCATTGGTTCGTGCGCATTAGCCCTGTAACAATGGCCTTAAAACAAGCACTGAGACCATATGGTAATGTTGCGACCACGGAAGCTTGGTTAATTAATGGACAAAGGCCCAGTTCCAAAAAGACGCAGATGCGAGCATATTCGACATGGCTCAACTGTTTGACTTCTACATATTTATTTAGTGTTATTTTAAAAATTGGCTTTTTTGCACATAAGAAAGGCAATACAAAAGCGATGTTTCCCTACCCTGACTGCCTGCACCGGTAATCCGAGTTCCGCTGCTATGATAACGACGTCGGCGATCTGAGGATTTTTATCCCGAGTGAAAAAGTCTTCTAGTCTATTTGCTTGGGCAGAGCTAAGAAATGGAAGCTTTGCCTGAAGATCGGGACAGCGATGGGCATAGATCGCCGTTGTCTCTGAGGTCATTTTGTCCTCACGTGTGTGGCTCTAAACGAAGACAGCTCAATTAGCCGATATTTCCTGACTGAAAAATTTACGGTCTTCTCATTTCCAAAGTACTATGAAATCTTGAATCTTGGCAAATAGCATTGTTAGCATTTAGCCCTGTTCTCCGAACACGTTACCTAGATTCAAGCGATATATATTTCGATCTAATATGTTGCCTGAAAAAGCAATGAATGATATTTCAATAAAGATCAAGGAGTAAAGAGAATAGTTACTAACACTACAGTTACGCGTGTTAAGAGATGTAGTGCCTATCAGTCCTGCTTGGCCTAGATGGCATTGGTATTTTGAACGGTCAGATGAAATGCCGTACCGATATATGTTGCCGAAGTGCACCAACTGCAACAAAAAAGCATGCTCACACGATTTAAATACCAAATTTTTTATGAAAGTTTTATTTCTAAGGCAAAAGTCACTCGCTCTATTTGATTCTATACGTAATAAGCACTCAAAAAACAATGGAGCGCGCTTTGCAGATTGCAGATTGAATGGTATAAATGATAAAGTAAAGGCTGGAGTAGGCGAAGTTTGTACTACGACCTTTGTCGAATGCCACTGGTTTCGTAGGGGCTCTTTGAAGCAGCCTGTAGCTCTATCGGTAGCCCAATGTTTGTTCCTGATTATCAACGCCTCAGCATCACATAGTGGACCATGAGGCGCAGTCTCGTAATCTATCAGAGAACGCTTTTTGTTCTTCTACGATCCCTTTCGTTTGCAGGAGAACCTAAACAAAGACAGTGATCGAATCGTCTTTGACTTTCTTGACACGTCGCCGGACCGTGCTAAAACGTTGAGCTGCGTTAGATCTGTAAACAAACAATAATAATGATTAGTCTCTCAACTATTGTAGAGCAACAAATTTCCCCCTTTTCTCAACCTTTCCGACCAGCTACTCAGTGTAAATACCTCCACCAATTGGCGCACATATTCATGAAGATCAAGCAGTATAATTATTCAGTTAGTCTCTTAATACGTTTAGATTTACGTAGTTCAGCAGCACGCAAAGAACGTAGCTGCGGACTGCAGCTTACAAAGATCTATAAATTTACATGACGAAGAGTGGATTATGTAATGAGGAACAGCTCACTAGAAGTAGCTGGATATTATCCTTACACCTTGCATGATAAAATTTCTTTATTCGCGTAAATTGCGTTATACCCATTTGGTGTCGGGACCATCTTATAGCTAACACTTAGAATTAGCCCAGGCATAACGTGTGTTTTTTTTTAATCTAGTAATAGCCTTTCTCCGATTTCGGCGCTTCCTTTTTGCCCACCAAAAATGTTTGCGCAAGTACCCTGCGTAATCCTTTCTAGACAATCGTAGGCCGAGTTACCGGTCGTCGGGGAGGTCTGTCGAAAGCGGAAAAGTGTACAGACGCAAAGATGTCGCATGCCCCCGTGTTAGTTGCTGTTGTGTTGTTTGTCGTCGGACTGTAAGTGTTCCCGTTCCACTCGTCGCCAACGATGCGAGTCAGAAAGAAGCTAGAATATAATCAATCAGCCGGATCAGACGCCGCAGTCCCGACTACTCGGCCCACGCGGACATTTGCTGCTCGTCTACGAAATGCCATCACTGGACAAGACAATGACGATGAACAGGCAGAACTTTCGCCAGCTAAGAACAGCCTGGTATAAGCGGGTGTTATCGATGCCAGTGGGCACCCCACCGAGCAGCGAGTCTCGTCACTAATGCAATAATGCGTCGTTTACCAATGATAATCCATTATGTAAATACGTGCTTTCCGTACATAAAGCGTTTACCCTCGCATTGATATTAATAACAACAATATATAATGCAAGGCGTTTACATGACGTACTAACGTTTATAGTATTTCTATCGCCACAATGGCTTGTTGTCGTCGTTAACGATATCGTTGAATTATATAGTGTTTCTTGTTATTATGTATATGCTTCGTGTCATTAGCTGGGAATTCTTTTACACCAGAAGCAGCATTGAATTCGACCTCACCGGTGTGTGGGTTGACGATTCTGGGTCCACAATTGTGGCCTCCTCGTCCCTTTCCTGTCGCACGGCAACCGGTTCATCTTTTTGCACAGCAATGAAGAAACGATACTTTTAATGATCATGGAAAAAGTCGTACTGCTGCCTCCGATAATGATGTCGGCGATGATCACACGACATCGTAGTCCCACACACGACTTTTAGTAGGATATACGTATAAGCTTGAGCGTCGCCCTTGATCAAGTACCCTCGAATACGTCGTGCGCACCGGCTACATTTGCATACGTATTCACATGAAGCTGCACCGAATCTGAACTCTTGAGCCGATAAGTTGTTGTGCCGGCGAAAGCCGAAGAAACAGTTGAAAAATGAATCAAGCAAGCAGATCCCATATAAGCACGGTATCGGTACCAAACACGTGTGAAGTCTTTGTAAACGAGCACACTTTGTATATAAGCATTTGCTACTAAGTAAGCACTGAGATCATCTATAACACGCGGTTGATAAACCTGGTCTAATTTGATGATATCATATCGATGTTCTGATAGGCGTTCGCCTCCGCGAAATGACAGATTCCGTTATAAAAATATGTCCGAGGTTTCAGTATGGGGCCCGTAGGCTTTTGCGAGGCCAGGGCCAATTCTGCTTTGTCCTACGTGTCCAAGGGCATAACTACGTGAATTAGTCAAAACGAACAAGTAAAATGGGCTACTTTTTAAACAATAATGAAGATGTACGTAAATTCGTTATTCCACACATAGCTTTGGATTATTGAAATCTGAGCACGCAGTAACTACCCATTGAGTCATCACGGTTGCAATTCCTGTACTCTTGAACTTAACTTACCCAGTAGAGGAAATCACCTGCAAACTGTGTACAGGCACACAAGAAACTGTTGAATAGACAATATCAATAAACTAAAACGAACTTTAATTTCGAATGTATAGTTGCAAACTGCCGCTGCTTATAATCAGATGCAACGAACTTTGCTGTGCGTCCAAATCTGAACCTTTTCTTGTAAGTTGTTTTATAACTACATTTCAACAACAACAACAACAAATAAACGTTTCAACGATTCCTTGCATGCGCTACAAGTGTTATTCCGCTAGGCCCTGTATATTTATGGTAACCCTCACTTATCGCGATGACAGCTTTGATTCGGGCTCTGAAAAACTTCCAGGCCTGTCTCAAATGTTCCCTTCCAAAGGTGCGGGCGCCTTCTTGGTAGCGCGGATCACCCCTTTGATCTCACTCAAGAATCCCCTTTCCATAAAAGGCTCAAATCTGGACTGTTTGACGGCCATATGTGCCCATTTAAGAAGGGGCTCGTACTGTTAAGTAGGAAACCCTGTACTAATCGGCTTATGTGAGCCGCAGCGTTTTTTGGTTGAGAGACAAATGGTAAGACCCTCCAGTTGTCTTAGACACTCTAGCTATTATCCACAGTCGCAGTTAGTAAAACATATAGATGTAAACTTCTTTAATGATACGGTCGTCTAAAAGAATTATGGTGGCTTTTTTTTTGAGAAACTCTTATGAATTCATGACATATACTTCGAGCTCCCGTGACACGATACACATCGAATTTCTCAACTAACGTCCCAGCACAAATAGTAAAATGGATGACAGAATCAAATGGCTCTCGACTCCGCACTGTTTCTCTTTTGTAAACAATTTCCTTCTGTGCTGCATCCGGACCTAGTTCTGCTCCTGGTGCGGCTGTACACACGTTTAGGGTGTCGAACACTGTTAACTTTAGGTAACCGAATGGGTTTACATTCTTGGTGGAAGTTTGTTCCGCATGGGTACGTTACATAATAGTTTATATTCGATAATAATGTGCTGCCTTTCGCCAAGATGAATTGGTTATTTTGTTCTAGAAAGAAACGATTTTATGGTTCGAAGAATAGCGGATGGGCCTATATTCGCTACGACAAAGCTTGTCCGAACATGAAAGCCCTACATTATATATGTTCACAGCTTTATAGTATCGAAGGCAGCGTCACTACAAACAATAAAATGGATATTATTATTATAACAGTAACAGCCGTTCACACAAGTTTCCATGTTAATATCCGATTAAGTATATTAGAATTGAAGAAACTATTCCACACATATACCACAGTACACAGCACGATAACAGTCGATAGAAGGACGGAATTGCCTGACAGCATCTGAGTGCTAAATTGTCTTCCAGCATTCAAATTAATATTAAGAAGTTTCATTTTTGAATGAAATCAAATCCTTGCAGGAATAATAATTTCTTTGTAGTGTACTTGTCCATGTTACCCCGTTATGTCCTGTAGCGTTCAAGTTACTTCCTACTTTGTCATCGCCTCTATGTAAAACGCCTAGCGAATTAACAAGACATTTATAGTATATAATACACTCGATCCTGGACCGAAATTGTTCGATCGGCATCTAGTAAAGTTGAGCTTTCTATCATTTCTACATTCTCTCCTTTATATCTTCTTATGAGAGTTTAATGCCGGTATAGATTCAATCTATTCAACTTCGATCCTGGCCCATATCGAATTTTATCTACACGGTTTTTCCTTCCACAGCTGAAAGCGTTCCACATCTGAGATCGTAAACAGGAGCCACAGTCTTTCCATGCTCGTGCCAATTCCGCCGAAAAGCTAAATCATCATTACGGCAACGACACATAGTTTCACTTTTCATTTGACAAACTGACCATCATAGTAATCTGTGATAAAGATACTCACATCGTTTGTTTCAGAGTACCCGATCCACTTCAGCGTCCGTTGTCACTTTACGAGGGCTTTTGCAATCGTGCGCTACCGCTGGCTTTCGTTATGCAAATGCACGATAGCCACGTATACAGGCCAACTGAGCGATATTATTGTATGTAGTATAATTGTGCGTTACAGGGTGGCGCCGTAGCTCGTCGGGACGAGCCGACATCAACGCCCGGTTCGGTGCAGCGCGACGAGATTGACCGTCGTCTTCCTCTTGCCCTCCTCGTCGTTCTGTGCGCATGAGGAAAGAACGTCCGCTGACTGTGCTCATGCCCACGCCGTAGCTGAGGCAAAGGCAGAGAATGGCAAAGGAGATCAACTCCTTGGGATAGAAACTTTTCAACTTCTCGATCGCAAAAAGTATTCACTATATTCGACCAAATTGCGCTGAAATTCTAACTAAGCCGTTGTGAGGCTTATTATAAGTATTTACAACTGGGGAAAGTGGTTATCGGTCGCTATGAGTATATATGAGGCTATATGTAGCTGAGACCCGTCAAGAATTGACCATGGCTGATAAACAGAAGGAAATTTAATCGTTTATAGGATGTGAGATGTTACTTGGGTTGCAAGCACTGATTGTTTCAGTACAGCCCAGCGAAACTTCCTATGGTGCTAGGATAAAAATTTTCAAGCTGAGTATGCCAGAGAACGCTGTTTCTACCATCCTGCTTAAACCGAGCGCGGCACAGAAAACTTCTGACCATCAAAATACACTAAAAAAAATGTACAAATTTTATTGATAACTAGCGTGTGAATGAGGTAGCAGTGATACTTACTAATGTGTCGGAAATTGGAAACGCGTAGATACGGCAGAACGCGGCAGAAACGCGTAGATACGACGATGTTACCTGTTGTAACCGGCTTTTCGTAAACATTTCGTTTGTCGGTTAAAGAAAACTGAAAATCTTTTCGTGAGCAGATTCAAGCGCTTGATGAAAAAGTGTTTTTATCGATTTCTTGCTACTTTCAAAAACACAATGTGTTTATTCGAATGCTTCGTTCTTTAAGACGCTTCATAATTATCCTTGAAGCTGGCCAGCCCTAAACAATTCTACTCGATGAAAAAGGAAACGATTTTTTTTAATTTTCACCGCTATAGAACCGATTTTAATGTAATTGTTTTATTGGATGTTCATCCACCGTGTGCTGTTTATTGCCCCAGCATAACAAAGGCGGAAAACAATACGAAAAAAACAACGTTAGCAAATCTTAGTATCGTCTTAGTATCGGTAAATCTGGTGAACACAACTTAAGGCGTCCAACTTCAAAAGAGGAGCAACGTGAACTGAATTGAGATCCATAATAGCATTCGCCATATCTGCCTGCTTTAGCATCCTCTGTTCTTGTATCTCTACAAATTGGCGATCAAGCCTTCACCGTAAAAAATCGAGTCAAAAATGTCACGATGAAATTTTTGTACACGAGAGAGATCCATCCTCTAACCACTCGATGGGACTTACCTTTGCCGAAAAAAAAAAAAACAATTACTGTTGAAAACACAGAAGTTAATGAGTTGCGTACAACTCATTAACTTCTGTGTTTTTACGGTTTCTGCTCAATGTTTATCTATATTATTAATATATGTGTTTATTAGCAAATCGTATATCTTCACCGTGTAATATTTATTCTACCATAATTAGCGACGAAAGAAACTGACGGAGAAAAATAATGAGAGTCATTGCGGAATAAATGCACGTTTCTTTTTTTAGACACCGCGGTTCATGTGGCCCCAGTTGGGACAGTATTCTATGGCTATCTGCCATTTTATACACTTTCTGTAAATGTTTGAAACAGTATGGCTATCGCACCCGGCAACCTCGTAAGCCGTCAAATGGCTTGAATCTATCCGTACGGACACGACAGTCATAGATGCCTAGGCCAAACATTTTCGCTGACCAGACGAACTATAGCTACAGTTCTCGAGCATTTCATATTATGTCCTTAGGATTCAGGCCACCAGAACTGGGTTTAGGGTTATAGGTGGCAATGAGTCATGCTCCGTTGAAAAGTTTTATGCCCAAAAGATTTCACTTGGAGATGCAATGCGAACGTGAGTTGGCCAGTAACGGTGGACATCACCGATGGATATAGCAAACGAATACGAGATTCATAAGCACACAAATAACTGACCTGTTGATGACGAGCTCTAAACATTTATAACATTCACTACTCCTAAAGGATATGAAGTCCTGACTATTAAAGTTTCACACTTCTATTTCATTTACTTCATCAGCGAGTGTTATACATTAATTTCAACACATTCTAATTAATCATGGTTTTGCTTTTTCTGTCCTCATTATTTGCATGTTGAACGCTTGTTAGGGTTCATGCTCTAAGATAACAGTGGATGGACGGAAAGAAGATATCAAAGTCTGAGCTTTTTCAAACGAGTAACTGCTACAAATTCGACAGTTATTTGGCTCAAGTTCAGAATACCAGAAATGTGGTGTTTTAACGGTAACAGGCAGACGCTTACCTTCGATATAGCACCACATCTCTTTGACCCGGTACTATTCAAGGTGACGTTAGTAGCGTTGAGGTATTTTATAAGGGGATGCCGCATACGCTGTCTTTTTGAATCCTGAATAGCATTCCTGACGAAAAAATAATGATATCTATAGCTAGAAGGCTTGCTCAGTTCAACCAGTGTTTTTTGCCAGTTTTCGACATTTTATCACGGAACCAGGTTACTACGTAGTGGTTTAAAGGAGCAATCATTTAAAATATGGGCCACAAATATTGCAAACTGGTGATAGCTTTGATTTGGATGTCCTCTGAACACAGATAATCTAAGGAGGTTGGTTTTACCCCTCGTCCCTCACTTTTTTATCAGCTTCTACTATACTCCCATTTTAAATAAAGATTTTTTTTTTTTTATTAATGCTGGATTCATTTACAAACAGGAATACGACTCTTGACAGTAATTAATTCAATATGTAAATACTTCAATATTTGTCCCTTGATCTCGCCATAAACTTTATTAAACCATTTACAGAGTTGGTTCATGCGCGACTGATATAAGGATATCGACATTTTACTTTTATAAGAATTATGTCAAGTACCAGTGCGAATCGCATCGATAGCCATCGACTACTGCCATCTTCGAATCAGCTTAAATTTTTTATTTAAAATATATTTTACGGCCGTGTAAGAAATTCAAAATGGTTTCTTACAGTTGTTGCTCTATAATGCACCGGAGATTATCGAGAAAATTCTTTATCGGCAAGTCCTTGGTAAAATTTCTGAGTTTCTCGATCTATAGAACTTCAGAATATTTAAGGAAATGTAGAATTAAAGATAACCAATGATTCCCTCACTATATATGAAAGCGATCTATATAGCGGTACCTGTATCCGAAGTCTGGAAACTGCAGCTACCGACAGCGAGAGTAATACGTTCTTGTGGAGATGTTGAAGAGGTCGTGGAATGGAAGCACCATGGCATATTCATACACACAAACACGCATATATATATATATATATATATATATATATATATATATATATATATATATATATATATATATGTATACAAACGAAAATACAGAATTGTTTTTTTATCATAGGATCTGGTGTTGGATAACACCAAGCTTTGTTTTTTTGTGACCGTGACAGCTTAAATCTGGGATGTACTAGGTGCTTGTTGTGTGCCAACCATGCTCTAGTGATGGGATTGGCGCTCTTCAAGTGAATCTGTCCTCCCCTGATTCATGAATATCTACCTAATTGACCATCTCTGTTCCTTTTTATCATTCTTTATCTTAAAATTGTTCATCCAAGTAGAAGGTGGCGCAGTATAGCATGCGATGCGGGTCACCGTATGTACGCAAAAAAGTTACCTGGTAAAAAATACCGGTATGAAACGTCAATATTTAAAATGCAGATCTTTAGAAAATGCCGATTTGAACTTTTCATTTCGTTTACGTTCTACGAATGCGAAACTACACATGGTACATACTATGGGTGATGTTTCGATTAAAATAAAGACATTTCTTGTTTCTGATTACCGATTTCGCATCGTTCTTCTTACCACTTGGCGACAACTAACTTATTAATTATACTTTAGGAAGTAACAAAATAATACGATGAAGAACTGAGAACGATTGCAACTCCTATCAAAACCGTGTATTTGGTGAATAATATATATATATATATATATATACCACCTAGAAACAGTGTTGCTGCTTGACACCCCACGCGGTAGTATTGTTGTTACTCCTATTATTATTGCTGTGTAGCAATAGCTTCCGCTGTATGCTCCCATGGACCTTTCGTTAAGTAAGTCCATGTACCATTACTTAATTGGACTTGCCTTCTGCCCTTTCTGTTCAGTTTTTGGGCGCGTGTGTTGCAACAACGTTTGTTCATGTCTCGTATCGATCAATGGTCCATACGGGTTCACTAATATAATATTTTATGCAACGTGCCAGACCTTAGACCCAAAAGTACGCTTGGCTCTGAATCGCTTTCTTACGACTTTTTTGTTTTAGTTAAGATACGGAGAAGAGCTGTCCGTTCCCGGACAACGATGACTGGCAGAACTGATTGAACCTACCTGGTAATCTGTACTGTCTGTGGATTAATCTATATGGGGGATGGACGAAATCTGGTCTATAAAAACTCTTTTCAGTGGGCCATATGGTTAGGGCAACAGGGTGATTTCTTGTGCGCATTTGAACGAAATTGAATTGTACTCTGAGATCGCTAAGTCCTTGAAATTTTTTATTAAACTAAAATCGACGGCACGCGGTTTCATATATGCTAAAAATACGGTAGGCCATACAGCTTTCAGGTGACCGTACAGAATAACTTACTATAAAGACCTATATAAACACAGCTTATTATCAGTTTGCTCTTGAAACCGCAAGTGCGGTTAAAAAAATATGATTTTAAAACTCTAACGAACTTCGAAAAAAGATAGTACCGCCATATAATCTCACCGTTGAAAATTCTGGTCCAAAAATTCAGTGACGCATGCTGCACTAAATTTTTAGACCCATACGCAGTTAAAAAATTCTGTAAGTTTGAGAATATTGCAGTAAACTAAAGAACGTTGTAAGGAAAAACGGATTGGTCCATATAGTTCTCCCTTTTTTTGACACCAATTGCGCTAGCAACCCAGAAATAGCGCATTCGATAATCATGTTACTGGGTCAGCAAACATAACATCCAAAGTTAACCACTATTTCTGGGCCTTGCTTAGATTTGCGTTTATTCAATTTTTAGCTGTATACAATACAGATCCACAGTGTAGCATTTAAGATGGGAA